GCGAATCCCCGGTGTTGTATGTGTCTTTTTGCTTCTCTTTTTGGTCCATAAGAGATTAGGACAAGGTAGGAATCGTTCTGCTGCGTGTGAATCTTGTAAAAGGTACTCAAGTAGAGCAAGAAAAGGCAATTGTATTCCTTGCTTTTTGACATTACCTAGCTGCCTATAGTTTGTGCCTTTTGGCACCACTTGCCAGCTTTGCAAACTCCTCTTGTGGCACTCCTGTCAAGAATCTCTCTAAGCCAGCAAAAACCTCATGCACGTTCTGCGTGTGCATGATATCCATCTCAGGTTTCCTTAACAGCTTCTTGATCCCAATCAAACTGTCTCCATTGAGATGGTCTCCCAGCCTCTCGTCTACCTCATGCAACACTCTCGCCCTAAACTTGGCATCATCGCCTTCATCAAATATGGCGTTTACAAATCCGCAGCGTTCCAGTTCTTGAGATCCGATGCGACGGCTCATCAGAAGTGCTTCATTCGCTCGTGCAGGTCCAAGGCGCAATGCCAGAGCTCGTGAGGCACCGCCCTCAGCGACAAGACCGATGGATGAAAATGGCGTAAGGAGGAAAGTTGAAGGGGCGCAGTATATGAAGTCAGCAAAAGCGACCAGAGCAGCTGTGAGTCCGATAACAGGGCCATTGAGGCCTATGACGAGAATCTTGGGATGAGTCGCAAAGGCGTGGGTGATGTTTAGGTTATTGGCGACAAAGGTCTGCAAAAGCTGTTTATGCGAATCATTGTCTTCTCCGGGTGATTTTCGAGTAACTCCTACATCAGCTCCTCTAGTAACCGTTAGCATGTCGCGTTTCTTAACTTGAGGCATGAGGTTATGGCATATCGAGTTCCTTACGCTGAGAAAAATCGACCCTTGGCCAGGATGACTGTAGTGAAGACCTCATCGTGAGTAGCAATCTCTCGTAATTTCTGTGCAAGGTCGTAGTACTGCGCGCCGGTAAACGCGTTCAGCTTGCGCTCGTTATGAATAGTTAGAACAGCTATACGACCACGATACTCGAGATCGAGAGTGGATTCTTCTGCCATGTCGAAGAGCTTTACAAAAGGATAGAGGAAGAATTAAATCCGAGAGAGATAGAAAAGAATCCTAAAAATCAATAAGTGAAAGAGCAGAGAATCAGAGCGTGGAATCAGCAGTCGATATCGTTTTCTTATAATTACATTCAGTACCTTAGGGTAACGACTTAACTTACATGGTCATTCATTACCCCAGACAGTGGCGGGGAGGATAGTCTCCACATCAGCCATCAAGATGCCTCGGCATGGACATGGGGATATAGCCGACAGCCAATCCTGCATCACCCTTTAAGCTCGTTCATCTTAGAAGAAGGTCGGCTTAGTGAAAGATGTTTGATGGCAGACCCAAGGCACGCCGACTGAGAGGGAGATTATCTCCTAAGCATGGGATCGAAGTCGAGACAATAGAGTCAAGCTTAGTTTGGCAAACAACATGAGGGCTTGGTTACGCATAACACTTCAAAGATTTGACTGAATATCGAGCAAGTAACCAAGGGACTTCGTTTCTTATGCTGACCATACTGAAGCTCTTTGCAATAGAAGCCATGGCATTATATTTGTCAAGCGTGAAAATGGCAACTCCCAAGTCCCGACTATGAATGTTTTGGCAAGAATGGACTAATAATATATGTAATAACAAACTCCTTCGCCGAAAGCGACGCCTTCGCATTCCGACATGCAATTGGCTTTTTTTATCATAATCAGAGTGCGTCGCATAAACCATTATGTGACTCAACGTTCTTCTTTACAGAGCCGCGCTCAACGCCTACCCTAACGGCGCTTGGGAGCGATGTGCCTCTGCTTGGGGAAATTCAGAGGCAACGTCAATCGTGCAAGAGATACTGTAGCCTTGGTCTCCTTGTTCGTCACAGGCTTGACACGGCCACCGATCTCATGGAAATAGGCATTCATTGTCTTCTGGTCGATCTTGAGATCATCGCGCAAGTTCTGCGTATCCACCTCGAAGTTGTCGATGATGCTAGCAAATACACAGCAATGTGTCATCAGGAGATCGATATGGAACTTTCGCATTTCACCTCGGTCGGAAAACTTGCGGCGAATGCTCTCGACGACAGCCTCGGGCGCGGGCGCGAGGATGTCCCTGAGCTTGTCGCGTGGAGGGATAGATCGAGTACCGCGAGCCTTTCCAGGCTTGGAGTGGAGGTAGAAGATTATAACAAAGGAGAGATATCGTAGCACACGAAGTCTGTCGACAGCGTCTTCGTTACCCGCTACTCGATTAACACGCGCAGCCACGAATCGCGAAGCCACCTGGATACCCTCCTTGTGTTGGACCTTCTCCTGCCATTCTCGAATCGGCACCAGCTTAAGGATGTCGGCTCCGATAATCCTCTTAGGATCATAGACATCTTGAATCTCGGTCGCTTCCAGGTTGGGAATGGGCACGGGTCTAGCTTCATCCACAACCGCTTGTAACTCTTCTCTTGACGCCATGGTCGATGTGATTTCTCCAACGGAGCTGAGCATGGCACGAGCTGCAGCGTCAATCTTGGTAGGTGCATCCCCGGGCTTCTTCTGTGGCGCGATAGCGTTCAAGACATTCTCCTGGATCGCCTTCTTCGCCTTCTTGGTACCGAACGTCTGGCCAAGGTCGGTCTTGAGTTGCATCATGGTCTGTATCCTGTTAGCAAGATGAGCCCCCATGAGGTGTTGAGACATGAGCATACCTGGTTGGCATCGCGCTCACCACCAGCAGCAGCAGCGCTCTGCTTTGCCCGTACTGATGCCCGCATAGTCATCTTCTTTGCCTCAACCACCTCGAGCTTGCCGGTCTTGGGGTCGTATATTCCGAGAAAGTGGTTCAGAGCTGGCTTGACCCCTCTGACTCCATCCGCCTTGACCGTGTAGTCCATAGTTCGGTGCGCGTTCGAGTGCAACAATAAGTCCTTCTCGCCGGCTGACTTGGGCTGTTTGCTTTTTGACTTGGCAACATCTTTGGGCGCATATGAATGGAAGGGAATATTTTTCGGTACGTCAAATCCAACGGCCGTAGCTAAAAGTGCAAGGTTAGTATCGCGTTGGTCGCAGCCATCTAAAAAGAATTTTGGTCGTACCGATCACTGGAGGACAATATTTGGGTCTGAGGACGGAAGAGACGGTCGCTGAAGGAGATGCATCGATGGCCACTTTCTTCTTTGGCTTAGAGGTGGTGTCACCGCTTCTCTTGCGCTTTTCTGAACCCATGGCGTGCTGTCTTTACTTGTCGATGAAGATATCCCATGCGCGCAGGATCTCAGATTTTTTTTTGAGTATCCCACCTCTAAGCGGCAGAAAAAGATAAATCCGGAGTTTAGCCGCGAGCGCAAAGAAGGCGGTCAGAAATGCTGAAGATGCCCCACTGATACCTACTAGTAGGCACAGCTACTGCATGCGGGCAGGATAGGTACCTAGGTAGTAATTACCAGGTGGGCAACAGAAGAA